CAGTGGCTCTGGTGCAATACATCCAACCAAGTCCGAGAACAGAGCCGAGAAGGAGGAGGGCAAAAAAACAAGTGGGTACAAAACTCAACAAGACAAGGCACGTCTCTTGGAGAGAAGAGATGGAAAAGGAGACAGTGGGCGAGATAAAGATGAAGTGCTTGGCAGAGAAAGCGGAAACCAGCAAATTGCTGGAATACCAATCCTACATGATTGAAGAACTCAAGAAGGAGTTACAAGAAGAGAGGAGGATAAGGAAGGCCCTCCAAAACGATTGGAGGAGGGAAGAGAAGGAAGCCCACAGAACCTTAGCAAGGATTGCAAAGGGCATTACCTGGATTGACAAGGAAAAGAGGTGGGGACTCCCAGCCACAAGGGCATAGGGATTGGAGGAAAGATTGTTATAAAGCCGGATGGCACTCAGGCTGAGGGAGAGGGGAGCTAATGTCACAAACTGTGACCAAGGGAGGCAGATTCCACATAACTCAGAATTCCGGGTTATAAGTATGTTGGGATTTCACATGACACACAGTAGTGAATTATAGGTTATTATGTTTACCTGCTTGTGACTCACAGTTGTGAGTGATACGATGTTAAGATTTTCGTACATGTCTCATAGTTATGAGTCATGGGTTTCACTAAGGTGACGGGAGTTGCGCACCTGACTTGGTTATCATGTTTTGATTGGTTTTAGGAATGTTGCACAGCAACTCATAGGAGTCGTCTGATGGATTTTACATGACTCATAGTTAGGAGTCACAGGGTTTGCATGACGCAAGGTATGAGTCGCATGAGGTGAAGAGCGAGTATATAAAGGGGTCACTGGGACTCTAAGTATGAGCTCTTTACACGTTCATCTTGTTTATTTCATACCTTTAAGTTTATCAATAAAATCTACCCTTTACGCTCTTTAAGATTCATCTTAAGAAACCCGAGAAATGTCTTGCCTCCCAAGCAAGAGAAGTTATCTCTGGTCTCACATCAATAAATAAGTTCTAAGCGAGGACTTAAGCAGAATAGGGGAATAGGCACGATAAGATAGAAGTCAAGGGACTTGACTATCAATATCGCATAGGCAACACCCTAAGAACTATTATCTCATCTCAGGATAAGAATCGTTACATGTCGTACCACCCCTCCCGGTAGGATTTTTAACAAGGGCGATCGGAACAAATGTGGAAGAACATTGGTACAGGTAACGATAGGACAGAAGACCGGAGAACTGGTAATGAAGTAGCAGTAAAGAACAGAAGAGAAGGAGGTATGCGAAGTGGTAGAAACATGTCTGTGTATGTTCAGACTCCTGGAAGAGTTGATATCAGTACTTTGTATGTAAGGGCTATGATGACCCACCTTAGTTGTAGTAGCAAGTCACCACTTCCTTTATCTATCAAGTACAAGTCTTCATTTCTATCCTGTTCCCTTCTAAGAGCAAGTTCTTGCAAACATGATCAGATTCCAGTGTCAGTTTTTGTTAAAAAGAACTGGAATTTGTTTTGAAATTGATAGGGGATCTAGTTAGCACCGGGCGATTGACGTACTACTAGACTTTGGTAGTTTCATCATGTAGAGTAGAACATTAATCGTTCGGTTTGTTTGATACAAGATAATATGGACCAGTATCGGACTGTACAAGTTGTAAAGAAGATAAAAAGAAGCGCCCACAGGTGCTAACAGAAATCTCCTCATGAATTTGGTGGCTGGAATTGAACCAGAGATGCTAGGAATGAAAAACAAGGTTCAAAAAACTGGCAGTAGAGCCAGAAGTTTTATTTTTCTCAATAGATGAATTGTGTAAATATAGGACACCCATTGAAGGTGAGAGAATACCAGGACCAGAACCCATTCTGATACAATAATAGTTTTTTTAAAGAACCCATCCTATAGGAATATATAAACTTCACTGCTCGAGGACACCTGCGCAATAAACCGTCGCAGGCCTCCCAGTCAGTCCATCATGATTATCAATTGGTAAATCCGGTCTGGACTCTGCGGGAAGTGGTCTAAGCTGTTTCCGTGCAAGTTTAGTTATGTAAGGAGATCAACAGTTGGGGGGACAAAGGGGCGCATGATGGTGGTTTTACTTCAAGTTGTTGGTATTCGCTGTAGGCTGGGTCGTGGTGTAAGCCGTTGTTGCCACGAGGCTGGGCTTAAACGCTACTCAAATGGTGGTCACCCATCATATGTATTGTTAGGAGTTGTTGATATGAGGTCAACCGGGATCATAAAATTGAAAGAAAGACGAAGTGTATGTTCTGTATTATCATTGTAGCCTATTCCACTTGGCTCATCAGGGACATTAAGATATACATAAAAAAGATGAAAGGAGTGTTATCAATAAAAGAGATCTGACCGCCCCACCACTCCCATGTCGCTCTCCTATTCCTGCAACTGACAGCCCTTTCGGCAAACACTACTCACTAGGTAAAAATTAATCAAGGGCCTTTCTCCTGCCTGCAGAATGTAAAGGCCATTGAAATACGGACATACGGCGGCAAATTCCAAACCAGATACTCTCTGCAATACATAATATATGAAACCTGGAACATAAATGCCGCTTAAAGAAAATATACTACGAACTAAACTGAATGATCTTTTCCATGACATACAAGCTCAAGCATGGCACAAATAGTGATTTTGCAACAGGGCGCAACCAGGGACTTCTGGTATGTCCTTTCCACTTTAGTACCTTGTTTTTTCTTCCTTCCACCTCAAGTGGTGATCCTTTTCGCTGCAGGAAAAAGCAAGGATCTTAGGCTGAAAGTTGATAAGTCTGTTATGATGTAGTTTTAGGTTTCTTGAAACAAAAATAAAAATCGCGTATCATATATTCTGCTCAACTGAAGCTTACATCTAGCGGACCAGTGGCCAAACTTGATTCTGACTTTCTCTCTAATGATTTCTGTTCATGCTTCCCCATCGTTATACCTCTCCAATCAACCCTCAGCTTCATATACATCTATGAGATAGCGTCTTTCTTTCTGACCTTCCAGACCCCTCTACTTTGTCATACACATACCCCTGCCTGTAATTCTTCATGATTCTAAATACTTCCTCTTACACTGCTTTCATAACCAATTACTTTCTCCTATGTGCCCTCAAAGGCTCACATTTCTTGCCCTACAATACCTGTCCGAAATCCATCCATCAGAAAATATCCTCCAGAACCTTCTATTTTGCTTTTTCACTTACTTCTAATCATTTCAAATTTTCAACACCTCTGGAAATATCTTCGGACCACTGAATATGATGAGCAGGGTAGAACCCATACTTGGAGTACTGGTGATTTATGATACCCTGGACTTGCTATATTACACTGTCTTGCTATTGACATTCATGATGCTTACCTTACTTTCTAGTATGCAGACATGTGGAAAGGATACATTTGTGTTAAATGCGGAGTAGTTGGTTGTAACAATGTCGGTAGAATGAGGAGCCTGTATGGGATATAGAACAAGGAGCATATCAGCAAGGAAGATAGAACACATTTAGTTTGGAGAAGTGTTTGGGACTAGCGTTGAACGCTAGGGGTTAGGAAGATTTTTATTTAGATTGTAACCTACTGATACTGGCAAGTCTCACCCTTGGTTCATTGTGATATGAGATGGAATAGTATTGGGGGAGTTGGATATCACTGAGGGTATGGAGGAAATATCTGTGGATGTTGGAAGCATGGTAGCAGACTATGGCAGTAGACAAAGGAAAGGACATGAGAGAAACATGGAAGAGATTTCCTTAGCTATGATAGAAATTTGTGTATTCATAGGACACCTGCGGAAGGCTCGATAATGCCAGGACCACAAGAAACTTTCATTCAAACATAGCCTATCTAAAATACTTGCCTATGGCACTAGAACCTTAGGCGCATGAATAATATGACTGGAAGAAAAATTCATATCTCGGTTTGATGGGCCCGGTGGGCAGATTGGGGGTGTTTTCTGCGTAGGAGATATACTTGGCGGGATAGACTGGCTCTGAATAGCCATACTAGCGGTATAAACCCGCACCAGTAGTTACCACCACTCGCGAAATTTATGCATATTCGGTGTGCGTACAGGGGAGGTCAAATTTTATCCCAGAACCAAACAGGATAACCTATCGTGCCAGGGCCATTTGTGTAGGTCCTCTGGAGATATTAGACCATAGACTAGAGTACCGGGTTGGGAAGAGGGTAGAACCTGGGAGTTAATTATTTTCGGTATGAATTCCACGAAATACACGCGGAAGAGTTTCCGCAAATATGGAGGGTCCTAGTTCCAAGTAGAAAAGGCAACAGCTACTCTGCTCTCTTATCAGGAATCCCTCCTTTCTGAATTCTGTTTCTTCCAGTTGCTGGGCATAAATTGATATTTCTAGGGTTCAAAATACTGGGTGCTTTTTGCCTAATTCAGGTCCAGTTCTGAGCCACCTCCTTTCCCAATACAATTCTAGTCGGTTCTCACAGATTGACAATCCTCTCTGCCATTTGTTCTGGCCCACTGTCCGATTGTGGGGTCCAGATGCATTCCTTTCGGTATTTTCACCAACCACTTTGTCATCTGCATGGGGTATTTTGAACTGGTACTGTGGCGGGTAGGGTTGGAAAAGCAATCAAAATCAAACCCTTTTACTGATTTTCAGGCCCTCCCAGTCCACAATACTTAGCCATCTTTACTATACTAGATCTTTGGCTATAATGAATGCTGGGGGTCTTGTTTTTTACTGTTTGTTATAACCAGGTGAGACTTACCTATCATAGCCAGGCGATCTCAACCCTCACCCGGTGACAGACGTGGGGGGCCTGAAAGTACGAGGGTCTCGGATGGCACGACACAGAACTGATATTGTTTCAGGACGGACAGCGGCGGTATACAAGGCAAATATAGCCCCCGAGGGAATTTTCTTACTTCCTCTTCGTTTAGGGGAGCCTGCCTCCCTTTAATTGAGCGATGGAAAGGCCCCTGTTTTCCAAACCGGCGGCAGCCTACAACAAACTAATTTTCGCCAACACAGATGCCGATATGCTCGCTCAATACGGGATTACTCCTTCTTCTTGACACTTGTATCTAGGATATTAATTCTCCCCTGGAGGTTCCTCCTCCTCTTCCTCCTCCCGACCGTCATCAAATTCCCCAACCTCTCCAAACTTCACGGATCCACCGTTGCCTCCCTGTGATTACCTTTCCAGTTGATACTCGGGCAATAACCACGCCATCCTATTACCCCATCGGCATACCTCGGCCTATCACCATATGCACTTTCCCTGATCCTACCGTCCTTCTATAGCCCTAACGCGACGCATTCTATCACTTATCGTTTTTAGGGTGCTGCGTATGGTGGGAGTTCCGTATCGCGGGTGCTGGGTGAGTCGCTGTGCTTTTCTACACTGTTTGGAGCAAAGGTCAGGATACCGGCATGGAGTGAGATCTTGTCCCGAGGAGGAGAGACTCGCCGATGGATTCCCTCCCTCAATGCGTTTAAAGCCTCTATCTGACCGCCGCACTGCACACCGTTTGCCCTGAAGTCGAGTTCGCCCAGGGCACGACCCTCGAAAAGCTGAATTGCGCTGATGGCCATCCCGGTTCTCCCATCCCCATACCCGCAGTAGACGATTGTAACCCCCGCCCCCTTATAGGCCTTCCAGATCTGATCGAATTGTTCTTGTGCGGGCGCGGCACACTCCGGTGCCATGATGTGCGAGTATGAGATCTGGGCGGCGCGAAGCCTGCCCTTCTCCCGCGGCGATATCTCGACCGAGTTCAAACTGATGATGTTGCGTATGCCGTGGTTGTGAAGGAACTCGATGGAGGTCTCGTTAATACTCTCATCGGAATCCTCACCGTCATAGTAGGGCGCGGAAGAGCGTGCGAGGCTGTCCGGAACCACCCACCCAAACCGTCTGAACACGGGTTTCGTGACCAGATGGAGGCCGAAGAAGGAGCCTGGTTCCCCAACCGTTAAATGTTTATCGTTGCTGTCGATGCGCCAAAGCGGCCCAAGCTTGCTCCCACCGTCGTTTCCGCCAATCAGTATCGAATACCCACCTAGACTATCCGGAACGAGAAGAATAGACTCCCAAACCAAGTGCTCACGTGTCGAACATCTCACCTTGTTGCCCTCCGCCCGGCCCAGGAAACACCCGGTGGATCTGTTCTTCATCCCAGCCCAACCTTGCGGGTCTATCTGGAAGATCCACATTTGATCCCAGCGACCCTCCTGATATTCCTGGAGGCAAAGCTCCCCCCCTTGCCCCGTGAGCATTTTGTTAGTGCCGAACAGGCTGATAGCATATATCTGGCCTGCGGCTGGCACGTCGTTACCGTATCCGGGTGGGAACTTGATGAACGAGTGCTGAGCGACGGAAGTCGAGAGGGGGATGGGGTGTGACATTATCTGTCTGGTAGGATTGTGCTGATTGGTCGTGGCTGCGGGGTTTGGAGACCCGAGATGAGTTTGTATGGGCCGAGGGCAGCATTAAGGGTTTTTATATACCGTACCCCGGACTCACGACCTGGTGTAATTCACAGAATGGGTACATTTCTTTGTATTGTCCGGTGTGCGGCAAGAGCAGATTACTTTCTTTCTTCTCATTTTTGCTGATGATATGACATTGAAATGCCATTTTGGGAAACCAAACATTCGGCGGCCGGTCACAACCACCATTTCTATCGTAACATGTTCATTTTCGGTAATAATGGGGGTTCTGTTCTAAAAATAAAAACCCATATCTCGTTTTGAGCGAGTTTGCAGGCTTTATTCCGCTCGCAGTGGTTCTGTTCCGTTAAGTTGTCAGGCACCCTTTGAGGTCACTTGACACCTTTCGCAGTGACGGCAACCTTGGTGCGATATACAAGTATGAGGAGGTGAGCCGATGCACCATGACAATGTGACGGAGGGGATTTGGTGCAAGCCAATCGCTTAATCATCCCCTGGACGTCGTGACTCATCAGTGACAGAATTAAGGGTTTCGCTACGGTGGACCCATGCGCAAAGCGTTAGCGTTTCCACGCGGAAGGAAGTAAGGTGTTGTGCATCTACCCCCCCGGAAACACCAAGTTACTCCTATTGTACTTGTACCGGTACTCGTACTGTTCTATCTCTGTCGCGCCTGTGCAGAGGTATCGTGCCTGTATTCGAGATTTGGGTCTTACCATTTTTTGCCTTTGCTGGCGTACTCGTAGAGGAGAAAAAAATGGCGCTCCATCTTAAAGTCAAATCCCAGTTTTCCGTACAACTGACATGGACAAAAAGTCTCCTTTCGAGGCCCCTTCGCGCTCACCCCACTTATTCTCCCAAACACCGTCAGACTCCTCCCGTGAATGCCTTACATGTGCCCGAGCTGGATAATGTATACCTATTGTGTATCTGCACATTTCAGTATCGTGTATGTGTTGAATACCATGTTTATGTTAAAATTCACGAAGGTTCCCGATGAAAATAGGTTACCGCGATCATCTGGGTTGCGGTTTCGGAAACCTAGTTGGAGGTGCATTAGTTTGTTTGGAGATTCTCAGAGATTTGTGAAGCCTGTATTGTTTAGAAGTATAGCGTAGCGAGAGTGTTTGGAGGGTTTCAGCCATGAGGATAGTGAGACGATGGCTTGTATGAGATTAAGGTTTATTGGGGCTGCAACTGGAGGATGTCGCACTATGATGATTAGGAAACATGGAAGAAACTCTATGAGTGTTAGGACTGTCGGAGATACTGGGATGGAAAGAAGGCTAGAGGCCTTGGCCGAGTGGAAAGGAGGAAACTGTATCAGAAGAAGTTGGAAGGGAATGGCCCAGACGAGTTGGAACAAGATCAGAAGTGGAGACTGGGAAAAGTCGAGGCAGTGTATATATAGGATACCTCCGCCGACGTAAAAACAATAAGAACCACAATACACTGTCATTCCGACATAGTCTAAATTTCTTAGTTTACACCACTACCGCGGTCTCGAGTGGGGAACTGTGCCTGCTTAGGTCACTCCCTTGTTTGATAGCCTGCCTCTAACCAGTGTCTTTTCCCTTCTTTCTTTTCTCTTTATTCATTTTCTTCTCTCAAGACCTAATGTCTTCTACCAGCAGCAATAAGGACAATCTCACCTCTATTCATCTGTTCTAACAGTATGCTCTGGTACAAACCTTGCGGCGTTTTTCTCTATTTTCGACGACCCGAGTGATGGAGCATGATCGCTACATCAAGTGGTCACAACAGGCACCGGTATGCGCTGGAGCCCGGCACCCCGACTCGGCTAAATTGGTTTTCTTTTGATTTCTCTTTTTAAGCCTATTCTGTCCCATTGTTTAGGTTTTGAGAACATGATTGATATTTTATGGTGCCATTCTTGCCTTCAGAGCCAAGTGTACAACTATATTATCTCCCCCCTATATTTCATGTTGGTCAGAAAATCAAACAAAACTGCGACATTAGCGGGGATAGAGTGGGGAACTGTGGAGTCTGACGTCCACCATAACAAACCACCAGGAACATTGCCGAGAGGATGGGACGGGACCATAACATGTCATCAGTCTTTGGAATAGGCTACGATTGTGAGAGAATGGCTTGGGGTCCCTGTTGTTTCTACCATACCAGAGGTGTCCTATATACTTGACCATTCATGAAGTATTCGGATGCCTTGGCGCCAAGATTCCATCTTCAGCTTCTGGTTGGTGTGCGCCAACGTATCTGAATACTTTATGAATTGTCAAGTACAGACAATCTTGTCTTCTGAGAAATCAAAAATCTTCACCAGGTGTCTTGCGCCATTTTCCACTCTGTTTCCATGCTCAACAGCCATGGGTTTCTCCCAGCTCTGCCATCAGGTGAAGATATTTCAAGTCATAGTTGGAACCACTCTCTGCAATATGTTCCACCATTTCCTTAGTATGACACAAGCCTGTATTATCCTATTACAAACAAAAATACAGTTTACCATCCAACATTAACCAATGAACCCTCATAAACTCATGGGCTGCTCCATTCTCCTAACCTACTGGATCCCAGCTCTATTCCAAACACAATGACACTTATCCGATACTACTTAAACACTTACTACTACATGTCCTGCATGCCGCCTTAAACTTCTTGGCAACCCGCAACCATTTTGATAACTATCCGACGGAAGGTTCGTGAACTTCGACAGTCCGTCCCCGTCTAGTCTTAAGATAGACGAACGGCCCCACTGGGAAGGTTGGTCCGAGGATGAACGCAGGAAGAAGGACTGTTGGAGAAGTTGGGCAAGAGATTGGTAGATAAGAGGAGGAACAACCTCCACTGCTGTTCTTTTGAGTGCAACCGTTGCATTTCGTCTCTATCTGTCTTTGCTTCCTTGTTTCCTGCTTGCGTTTTTTAGGTTCTTTATCGCTCTCCTTGATCTCAGTTCTATACAATCCATCTTCCCTCTCTCCGCTTCTAAACTCTGTATCCGCTGTTCTTGACCTTATTGTTAAAACATTTCAGTCCGGTGTCTCCCTCTCATCTATACTAGCAAAGGTTTGGTAGACTCATGTAATACCCACTTCAGTTCAATCGTGTGCTTGTGATGAGATCGCTTGGAGGCCTGGCAGATTCCCAGCTCCATAAATAGCTGCTGCACAAGGGCGCCTTTGGTTTTCGGACTAAGGTTTATTGTCGAGGTGACATTCCTTGGTCGGGACATACTGGACGTTCGAGACGCTAACTTGGCAACCCTTTTGGAGACCCTTTGGCCTAGGAAGCCAGTACCCACCAATCCACCAATTAAACTGCCCAGAAACCTACATATGGTGACCCCGAGCAAGGTGGAAAGAATGGGTGCAATGTTTTGAATTTCACATGGCTATTGAGTAAACAGGACCTCTGAATACTTCAGCACTTTGTGAATAGACCAAATATTTCACACATCGTACATACCAGGGACGACAAAGGTAAAATATTGTTTGTTTGCCATTTGGACCTGTTGGAGGCAACCGGGAGCAAAAAGTAGGTTCGAGTACGGAACCTCATCCCCACCGTTACCTGGCCTCTACTCATCAAGTGGCAATGGAGAAAGAGATGCTTGTGAGCACGAGCAGACAGCGATGGACCCATCCTGTTTGGGCCTCGAAGGCGGCCGCGGCCTGAGATGCCCGATAAGCCTGGAAAGGAGCCCTCTTAGAAGGAGCTCGTGATATGACGGTAATTCTTTAATGGACTAAGCGTAAGTGGGTGTATATTGTACGGGTATGGCTAGAAAGGGCAGAAAGATTTGGATCACGAGGAAAAGGATTAGGGAGGCTGATAATTTAGTTGAGTAGAGGAGGTACGGTAGAAAAAGACCGGGATGTTATGATACATGATGCTATTAATTAATCTCATGCGAGTGAGAACAATAGTGGGGGTAGGATGCTCTGAGAGACTGGGGTGTTTGAATAATCATCAAGCATGCGAAGATAGTTAAAATTCAAAACATTAAATGCATAACTTCCATTCTCGGCCAGAAGTACTTGGCTGATTCAAACGTCTACGGAAATATTGGCGCCAAGATATTAGGAAGGAAATGGTGCTGCAATGAGCGTAGAGAAAGGATGCGGATGAAATAAGGTGTAGGATTAAAAGAAGATATAAATCAAAGATAAGGAAGCTATTTAAAGTATAAACGATTCATGCTTGAAACTTGTTTCCCCCCTTAGTGGCCATACACTGTACCATAATATCCGGCAACTTCATGGTTTTATGATTGAGTTCCTCAATAATAATCTTTTCCCATTCTTGTTTAAGAACAAGCTCCATTGCTCTAAACCTAGTTATACTTTCTGTACCACGACGGGAAAGTATTCGCCACTTCAGCAGGGTCCAAAGATGCTCTATTGGGTTGATGTCGGGTGAGTTTGGAGGCCAATCTACCTTATCTATACCTGCTCTCATCTGCTCCTGATTTATAAAATCAGAATTGTGGGAAGGGGCATTATCCTCCATGAGTTGAAAGTGAGGATTGAGGATGGAG